GGCTCTGGCCGGTTTTGAAGAAAGGAAGGCTGCTCTTCCCAGCGAGCAGCGATTGAGCCAGCGTTGGTTATTCCGTCCATAGAATAAGGGTGGCTCCTCTACTGCTTGCACACAGGCCGAGTGTGTATGGAAAGGGAAGTTCACTCCTAAATGGTTTTTCACGCTAGTTCATTTTCTCCATGCGATCTCCAATTATATATATATATATATATTTTTTTTTTAATGTGAGCTGTCCAGGCTGGTGCAGAATGGCCGCCAAACGGGCAATCTGCTCTCTGCGCAGTGTATTTTCACTATCATTACATGCTGCATACTAGTTTTCCATAGATAAACAGATATACACATAGTGTATAATACTTATTGCTAAAGACAGACCCCCACACCCAGGACATAACAGAGTATAATAAAAACCATTACTGAAGTATTTCAAACATCCTCTGTAAAATGATCGCCTAAAGCCACGTGGACTCAGTACAACAGAAAAAAGTGTCAGCTAATAAAATGTGAGACCAGCAATGGGCATTTTGAAAGTGATTAAGCCTCAGGCCTTAATAAGCACTGCAAAATTAAGGTGCATGTACTGTAACACTTCTAAGCAGTAGAAAGAAAACCTGCAGTTCCAGTGTTCTAAACTGACATGGCAAAGGTGGGTCCCGTTTGCGAATGAACGGCATCACTGCGTGCACCCCTTCACACATCAGCACCTCCACGTGACTGCTAACAGGGCAAGGTAGTCATGACAGTCTGATTGATCACTTCCTATCACCAACGTCCTGTTTGCAGAGGGCTTCCCACCCCCTGTTTTCATTGTTGATTTCTACATCAAGCTCCAGTTCAGTTCAGGATCCGTTTTGTGTGTTTTAAAGCTTCAGTGAAGAAAAATAGTTGCAGTTTCCCTTCAAATACCAAGGAAAAATATTCTGGTTTGTAAGCGTCAAAAGACTTTTATAATTTTACTGTGATGTTCGAGCAACTCCTTTACATCCCATCCTTCAGTTTGGTAAGGGGTGCTGGAGCTCAGTAGTGCCAGAGGGGTTTTGCTGTAATATTCCCTCAAGTCTAGTTAAGTTAGAAGCCAGATGGGAGCAGAGGGAGATCACCATTTGCATAAGACCAGAAGAGGCTTACTAAAAGAAGGCAGCAAAAAATATCTAAAGATTTTGACCATGGTACACACAGTCCAACCGTACATGACTT